TTGTTTTTTCAGCTTTTGTTAAATAAAGCTCGCCTTTTGTTTCCTTTTGAAACCTGCTTCCTCCTCAATCTGCATTTGGGTCCTATTTTTCCCCAACCCTGACAGGGGACACATCTTTATGTATAAAAGACATAAAAAAAGTGCATTTTGCATGATAGGTCCCCTTTAATACTACGGCCAGTGAAATGTCAAAATCACTACATTTAAATAATTAAACATGCTTATACATTCCAACATATTAAGTAAAGTTAAAGAATAAGGCTCAGAATATTATATATTCGTATTATTGTTAACAAATCCTATTGAACAAAGAAGAACAACTCAAGTGTTCGTTCGTGTCACACTATTTTCTGGATGTCAATCTTTTAAAAACACACATATAATATATATTATTATATAGAAGAGATCGGTGGCTTTTGCTGCACGGATGAATTCATCGTTGGTTTTGGTATGTTTGGGGGAAAAAAGTGAAATAAAATATTTGACCACTGTTTTTTGTTTCAGTACTCTACCAGCAGATGTCACTGTTGTGTAAAGAGGGGAAGTTTACTCTTAGGAGTATTAGGATTTCAAAATAAGACTAAAATAAAAGTCTGTTTGCTGCTGCCTTTTATTAAATAACTATTTATATCTTATATTGCATTGTAATTTTTACTATTTTATAAAAGTTATGTAACATTATGTTTGAGCTTGTTGTTATCTGTAGTCTTTACATGACTGTTCATTTTATTTTTACAATGTGTTTTCCTCGTTGTTAAATTGTGTTATTTATGAATGAAAATATTATTGAATTCACTTTCGTGACAGTTGCATTTTAGACATTTTAGAATTGAATAGTAAATATATAAATACAAATAATAAAAATATTTATATACATTTCTATACATATTTTTGTTTAAAGGTGGGGTAGGTAATTTTGGAGAAACCAGCTCGAGTGCGCTAGAATTTGAAAATACGCAGCCGAAAAAAATCTGCTCCTTCCTTCAGACTTCCTTACAGAGCCCCTCCTCCAACACAACGTGCCCATGACCAATGAGGGCACGAGATAAGTTTGTGCACAGATGGAAGGCTGACAGGCAGGTAGGCCATCCAGTTATTTTAGCCGGGCCGGCTCAGATGATTGGTCGTGCTTTTTACAGCGCTACGGCTTCCACAGATGAGGTTTTTTATGTATTTATTGTCAAAGCATTTAATATATTCATTGCTATCAGGATGTTAAGAGCATTCCATGGAATATAACAAAAAGTGTTTCTGAAGTGAATTACCTACCCCACCTTTAAGCAGCATTATAGGACCAGCATGCACCGGGCAGTGCCTTTGGGATTTGGTTTTACAAGAATATGAGAGGCAGCGAGGATATTTTGTTCTTTGTTTACTTATAAAGCACAAATTGTTCCCAAATATCTGAATGACAAACAGATGTGTTCCCTTCAATACTGTTGTGAATATGTTGCACTAAAGTAATAGTGACGTTTACAGCTTGGGATGATTTGTATTCTCTGAATCACTCATGGGCTATCATATACTAAAGAACACAACAAATATTCTCCAACATACAAGCTTGAATATTTTTTATATATTCTTTATAATAATAACATTGCTCACATTTGCATAACCTTCTTAATGTTTACTTGCTGTGTCTCTTGGTTTGAATATTTGGCTTGTTAATTTAACAAAAGTCTGGTGTCAGAGCTTCCTACCAGACTTCTCTAACGAGTGGTTTGTTTGCTCTATGAAAACATGATTTGATATAATTGATGTCTTAATATTAATAGTAAATGCTATGTCTATTTATTTCATTATCTATACAATTTGTACCATTGGATAAAACCTGACACGTGGAAATAACATGCAAACTCTGTATTAATTGCTGTATTAATGCTTTTAAATATTATAAATATATGAAAAATACGTCTTGGGACTGTCATCCTTGCGTCATATGTTCCAATACATTTTTTTTTTTTTTTAAATACTTTACAAAACTAACTAGAGTTATGGTGGAAAATATCACTCTGGGTCCAGAGCCAGCAGATTACAGCTCAACTTGTCGAGCAGAGTAAAACTTGTGCTTTCGATTGAAACTAATTCTCACAAGCTTTTTGAAATTTGCCAATAACAGCTTTTAATTACAAAGTAATCCTACTCAGTGTTCTGTATTGTCTGCAATTTCAGTTTACATATGGATTGTTTTTAGCTTTTTTCTCAATCCAAACAATATGCTGGCGACATTTTTCCACCATCCATGGGGGACATTGTTGCTCCACATTGCAGGAAACAGGGCCAAAATCTTAAGAGAACAATATGGCAGTGCTTGTGTCCTGCCACATAATGTGCACCAGTGGAGTCTGCATGGCTCTCAGACTTGGGTAAAGGCCAAAATGAACTGCCGGAAGGAGTGTGAGATTTGAGCTGGGGGAAGGGAAACAGCCGTCAAAATAAATGTGCTCATACTCCCAAAACGCACACAGAGCAGAATAAGCAAGTAGCACTAAGAAAAAATAAAAAGGGAGGCTGAGGCATCATGATTAGACTCATCACACTGTGTACAATGCAGTTGTTGGAAATCTCCCCCTGAAAGGATCCCTCATTTTTTTGTATTGATGATTCAATACTGTCTCACACTCACCTTTGAAGCCGCATCAAAGCACACAAAGCCCATGCCGAAGTCAACTGTGAGTCCCATAAGGTGGCTATCCATGATACAGGCATACGTCTTACACTACAGAAAAAGGAGAACAAGATGTTACCCACAAGAGCTTCACAAGGACACAAAAGCATCTTTTTTTTCCTGCAGGAAACGTCATATGAGCTTTATCAATCTGTGCACTAAAACGACTGAGCTGGAACCGTGAGCTAGATTAAAATCATCACAATTCCCTGCACGTTGCCTACTGTTCAGGTGCGGACCTGTATCCTCTCCACCTCCAGGAAAGTGGCCATCTGAAAAGCCTTTTCCCAGGTCACCAGCTCGCACTCCAGTTCCACGCTGAAGAACAAGTCCTCTCCGGTCTCCGTCTGGACGCTGAAGCAGTGCTTCCTCTTGTCCAGGAGTTCGTTATCCTAAGATAAGACAAGTAAGGCTGCCATGCTGATCAGGTACAGATGGGCAGGGTGACGTGAAGATAAGACAAAGCAACAGCAGTGCAGGATCCTGAATCTAAAGGGAGGTTTATTCACCCTGAGGGCAGAGTAAAGACTGTGTACTGCAGCTTTAAGAGTACTTGAGTTATGTTCCTCCACACTTACGTGCATGTAATGCATATTACAGCTGAACAACAGGATGTTTTTCCCTAATATATTTTTTGATAGCTTTATGTTTCCCAAATGGCACAGTGTAAATAGGAGTGGGTCGACTCACATCTCATTTAATGTGCGAATCTATAAGAATCACATTTACCACCATGAGTTTGGACAAAATGAAATGCAGCTAAATTCTCACAATCAAATTGTAAGTGACCTCGAACATGCAGGGAATGAACAAAACAATCTGAATCTTAAGTGTTTCATTTCGATTGAAGTAGAACAAATCAATCAGCGAGTTATATACAGTAAGTATATACATTTTCTGCTTTATATTCTCTCAATATATCCAATGCAATAAGAGTTGCTTCTCCTAATGTTCAAGAAATGAAATGGCTGCTTTACCTTTAAAATCTTTGAAATGATCTCATACACAGTGAAGCTTTTCTCGGCTCTAGTCCAGTCCCATGTAGTCACCTGAAACATATCACATACATTTTATGATTGATTTAAGGAATGGCTTGATTACAGAGGAAGACAACTTGTCAACATCTCAATTGAACAGATCACAATGATGATACTGGCTGATATTTCCACTTTTTACCACAACTACAATTTTAAAAAACTAATATTTAGCAACAATGGTTCTTCGATTTCACACAGAAATAACACTGTGATTTCTGCGATTTAGCTTTGCTTTAATGTTTGTTTTTCTAAACAGAAGATTTACTTTTACTGAAAAAAAGATATAACCACTAACACAAGATTGTCTGGAATTAGTGTAGTATAAATGTATCCAAAACAAATAAAAACCCAGACGAGGCGCTATCGCTGCTCTGAAATATGATAGCATGTTGGCTCCTGCACAGGGTAGAGAGAGCAGAAAAGAGTCTCTAAAAGTAAAACTGCTACATGATTTTGCACAGTTGACTGATCTGAAAATAACAAACTAACAGCATTGTGCGTTGAAATGTTCACAAATGACTTGGTAGGGTTGCTTCATAATAATAATAATTATAATAGCTTGGATTTATATAGCGCCTTTCATGAGACCCAAGGTCGCTTTACAAGGAAGAACAGGGCAAAACAAACATAACAAAACAAAAGGCAGTCAGACAACCAGTCAGACGGATAAAAACAACAAATAGATTAGGGGCCAAAGGCCTTAGAGCAAACAGATGGGTCTTGAGGGGCCCTTTTGAAGGCGTCAAGCGTGGGGATGTTGCGGATCTCTGCAGGGAGAGCGTTCCAGAGGGGGGGGGCTGCCACGCTGAAGGCTCTGTCCCCGAAGGTTCGCAGTTTGGTGCGGGGGGTGGTAAGCAGGCCAGAGTCTGAAGACCGCAGGTTCCGGGGAGGGCCATGTGGGTGTAGGATGTCCGATAGGTACTGGGGGGCAAGGGCATGGAGGGACTTGTAGGTAAGGAAGAGGACTTTGTAGGTGATGCGGGACTTGACCGGCAACCAGTGGAGGTGGATGAGGGTGGGAGTGATGTGCTGCCACAGCTTTGTATTTGTGAGTACCCTAGCAGCACAGTTTTGGACATACTGGAGCCTGTCCAGGGGTTTTTAGGGAACCCCAAACAGGAGACCATTGCAGTAGTCCAAGCGGGAGGTGACAAACGCATGGACTAGGTCGAGTGACGGTCGGAGTCTTGCAATGTTCCTTAGATGGAAAAAGGCCAATTTGTTCACAGACTTAGCTGTGATTGGACAACCACTGTTCAAGGGATGGGCTTAGCCTTAGGTGATGATTGATGAATGGTTGTGAAATTTGAGGGATATATGTTGAAATTGTAGGTAACTAACACGTCTTCGGTCTTAAAGGAGATCGTCACTTCGTCTGCACAAGCAGGCTCTGATATTCCTCCATCCACTCACATTAGCATATCCCATTTATATCTGCACATTCAAGTCGAGCAGGCGATTCCAGTTTTCTATCAATCTTTTCCCATCTCCACTATACCATTGACAGCTTATCCCTCTTGTCATAATCACTTAAGTGGCTGGCAGAATGTAAACAGATTTAATGATCATCATCAATCAAGAGGAAGATCAATGTAGCACAAAGGATTATGAGCGAGCAGCTTCCTCCTTTTATTCCTAACAGGAAAGCATTTTCTCTCTCAACAATACATTAACGTGAAATGAAAAATGTCCCGTGGAGTTGAGCGACACTCAATTCAAACACAGAAGTTTGATAGTTTAAAGAGGAAGTTAGTACAAAACAAATACAGATTAAGTGAACACTCACAGGAGGGGCAGAAAACTTGAAGAGTGAGGAACCTCTGAGAGCGAGGAATTTGGGCGAATACATTCGGTCCTGAACGGAGTCCTGCTCCTTCTCCTCAACCCAGCCCATGTAGATAATCTGTCAAACAGGAAATAAAAAGACGTGATCATGAGGGATTATGAATGTTATAACAGAGATCATAAGCAAAAGTACAACGTGTTTTCATTTGCTTAGATACTGTTGTCTTTGCCTGTGTGTAATTATATGTTGTCTTTTAATGCCATCAACCTACGGGACTGCAGATGAAAATGAGCCTATTTGACTAAATCTGGCACATAATGTTTAGAAAGCGAACTCATGGTAATCAATGTGTTCCTTAATTAAATGCATATGAACATATAACGATGTCTTAATACTTCTCTAAAATCAAAAGGAATAATTGTTTAAAAGCCTTGAAAACCCATCTTATCAATCGTGGTCCTACATTACACACATTTTCTGTTTTTTTTGTATCATGAATGTGGATAAATACTGTACTTTAACAAAATATTCTGTTTTTTCACATTTGTTATTTTGTAGTTGTTATTTTTTTAATCTGTTCGAAATAAAGATTGAAATGAAATGAAAATGAATTGAAATGCATGGTCTTGCTTTGGATCAAGTTTTGGACTTTTCTTAGTGGATGCTGAATAATCTCTGCCGTTGTTTTGTTATCTAAATTCGTTGGGTTGTTTTTTGACATAGCAAGGATCAAATCATAGAGTTTGCTGCATTCAACTAATCATAAATAATAAGGATGTTTTTTTCTTCAAATTGTAACTTGGACTGTTGCTCATTTAGTTCTAATCATTCCACTTGATTTCTCAGGGGCTTTAGAGATGAACCATGCACATGCATCTATTTGTGGTTTAACAAGTCATGGTGCTGCATAACACTGATGCAGGAATCATGTAAAAACGAGACACTCCCTCGTGGAGATTTTAGCCTTTCAGACCATTTACATGCACAAAAGGATAATGGGGCCTTTTCAATTCAGGGTGAATGCAAGGAGGCGTGTGGCGCAGTGGATAGAGCGTTGGTGTTCGGATCAGGGGGTCACAGGTTCAAACCCCACTGCAGTCAGCATGTCGTTGTGTCCCTGGGCAAGACACTTCACCCCAAATTACTCCTGTGGGGATTGCCCACAGTATTGAGAATGTAAGTAGCTTTGGATAAAGGCGTCTAACATGTAATGTAATGTAATTGCAAACAAAGTAGTACGTTTTCTTGCTTTTCTGTTAATGCAAAACAATCCAGTGAAAGATTTAGGACAAGCATCTCATGCCGCTTTATTTATTCAAAGAATTGTCAAATGAATTAATACGTTTGTGTGCGGCAGAAACCAAAGTAAATAAGAAACAAAGAAACCCCGCTGTCGCATTAACTCCCCATGATTAAACAGAAAGAAATGAGACTGTGAACGAACAGACTGAAGGATGTTTTCTGATTATTTCTCAGTGGATGGACTTTAATGATGCAAACATTCTCCTTTTGTTGCAATAGTTAGCAATATTATACCGTGCCCTTTCTGTGATTGAAAGACCTTGTTATTATCACTTGGGATTAATAAGATGGGGCAAAAACCATAGACTGCATATATAATAAAACACACAAGTCATTCCAAGCATAGAGAAATAAACATCTTAACAAGCAGGAGCTCAAAAAACATCTCACCTGCTGGTTAACTGGAAAATTCCGGTTAATCTTCTTCACCTGTTAAATCCAACAAGAACATCAATAACTCATTAAAATCTCTCTTGCAAACACACATTACTGGTAAAATAAAATAAATATGAAACCGTCCCTGCACCCTTTAGGGACTCGCAATCAGGGGCAATGTTTATAAGGATGTTAACCACATCACTGCAGGAATACTGAGAGCTACTTCATTTACTCAATGCATGCAAATTACAAAATGAGAGTCATTTCCACAAGGACCCAAGGCTCTTCCTTTATCCATTTAAAAAAAACATTCTCTCTGTGATAATAAAAGCGGGGGGAAACTACCGAGAGAGCAGTCAGGCTTTAAATTAAAACATTCTGCTCAGATCACAGGTATCACTCGCTCCTAATCCACACCATACTATCAATATCACGCTTTTTCTCACGGCTGGACACCAAATTAAGCCACCCATGCCTGACCACGTCCTTCTATAGAGGCAAGAGTTTCTCACTGATGTTTTGAAATGTAACAGAAGTTTCGTCCCACGGAGAAAACAACACATTTTCTGTGGAGGAACTGAAACGAAACAGCACGATAATTGGAGAGATGTGAGCCGGCCGGGTGATGGTGGGTTTGTTCAAATTCAGCTGTTTGTGGTCGGGACAAGTCACTGTGACCGCACGGTCCAACTACCTCTGACACAAATAAGAAATGGTCCTGTGGTGTAAGTATAAAACATACATCTTGTACTCTATAGAAGAACTTTCCCATTGTGTGAAGTACCTGAAGTAAAACGAATACTTACTTTCTAACCCTTACTTTGCTAGTGTTGTACATTATCTCCGGTGCTTGGACTTGACTTTTGTAAAGGGTAAATAAGGCTGAATTGACTCTAACTCCACTACATTAATTTGACGGCTAAAGTTATTGTAGCACAGATGCATCTCTTTGTACAATATAAAGGAAACATCCTAATCAATCCACTGCAGAAAACGTTGCTATGTTGTGATATGTGCTACTTGCATTGGGACTAATATTAATTCTTTAAGCAATATTAAGGACATGTAAAATAATGATATGAAAAATGTAGTAAAAAGAAAAAACATTTCAAAGGATATACGAGATGATATGAAAGCATGTTCCTAACACCACAGTTCTTCCATAGTATTTTGTAACATTTATGCACCTTTGTGTCGAGTTATTGCATAAATGTTTTATTTCATTTTACTGATATAATTCATATTTGGCATAACATTTGGCACAACAATTTCTTACCTTATTAGATATTTCAAGTTAAAGTGCAGATTTAATATTTGTAGAGAGCAAAGAACTCCATCCTCCATCACCACTCAGAAAACTGGAGGCATTTTAATGACAAACAGTTAAATATTTTATTACAAAAACAGCTCATTTCAATTTTATGACAGCTATAAAAGAAAGACTAAAACTGCTGTGGAAGCAAAGGATGACCCTACTATTTATGATGTCCTTGATATTCATGTATTTTTAGGAGTTCTTGTTATTTTTGTCCACTTATACATCTTATTTGCAAGATTTCCAGTTTAATAAGGAGGGCCCACATTTATTTTCAAGGCTTATCTATGAATATTTAATAGGATTTTGAATTGTTTTGACTTTGTGAAGTCAACCGTTCAGTCTGTCTATTTATTATATTTCGTGTTTTTAATTGTTAAATATTTATTACGTCTTGGTTTAATGTTTCTTTTAACTGATGCATCTTGCCGTTGCACTATCCTGCAAATGTCCCTGCTGTGGGATTAATAGGGGATTATCTTTAATTTTTGATCTCATCTTGAATCAGGTGCAAATTAATAAAAAAAATGTGCCCTCAAATGCGTTCCCTACTTTTACAGGTTATTGTTTTTGAGGTCTTTGAGGGACCCTGGTTGATCCGCAGCATGAAGAATCAATCAATAAAAATCACTTCATTCATCCCAAAGAGGTTTTGTGCAGCAGCACAATGAAAACACAAAGCACACAAAGACACAAAATATAAACAAACAACATATCATATGACGATTAAAGAGACTTAATGTGTGTAAGTGACTCAAAATATGAAATGATAAAGTGTGTTACAATTTGGACTCTGATCTGGGGAATTTAGCTGAAAGCGTATAAAAATGTCCTTTGTCAAACAGAAATGTGTCAACAAATACTGGATGGATTGGCAAAGGACTTTGGACAGACATTTATTATCAGTAGAAGATAAATCCCACTGACTTTGGACATCCCCTGGCTTTTCTTAAAGTATCACCATGATGTTGACACTTTTATTTTGACAGTTTTAGTGACATTAATGTCCTCAGGATGAATTGTAATCTCTCTGGCATTTCTTTCACTTTGCATCATCAGGTCCGATACTTTTGTCTACCACCAAATATCTGCAGAACCAATTACATTCTCATCAGCCTCAGTATGTACTCAGTACTCATGAGCAAATGTTAGCATACTACACTCTAAATTAAAATGGTTTACATGACACAATACACGTGCAAAACATCAGCATATTAGAATGTTGACATTAGCATTTAGCACAGTCTCATATACCTCATTCACACCAACGCAACTCCGGTTCAAGCTCCGTGCTCGAGCTTTTCAGGTTCAGAACCGGTTCTTCGGTTTAGCTCCGGCTCTTTTCACACTGCCCAGAGTCCGACTGGTGCTGCGTCATTGCGTCATCGTTTGCGTCATGACGTAACCGTTTGCGTGCCTGCTTCACAAAGCCAAACCGCGCGGAAACCCCTCAGTTCATTGACAACAACAACAATGGCCGATTGTGCTCCAGCTTCCTCTGTAGCTCTTCGGAAGACCAGATTCCCAGTAGGTAGTTGGTCTCTTCAGTGGACCACTGCTCCTTGTTAAGTTTCTCCATCGTTGTGTACAAACTGGATAAAACGTTGGCTTTTTGTTGTTGTTCAGGAGTTGATCCCGCCCCTGCCCCCGCCTCGACGTAAGCGTGACGTATGTGGTGCTTTTGCTCTGGCCGGACAATTTTTTGGTGCTTGAAACACGAACCGGATTCCGGAGCTAAGAGGCTGCTCCGCTGCGGTGTGAAGAGGAAAACCCGATGCTTTTCAAGCTCCAGATCCGAACCGGCCCTGAAACACCGTTGGTGTGAATGAGATATCTGAGGTTTGTTCTCTCCCGGCTACATGTGTCACAGTTCTCTATCACTGTCGTTAACTCCTTGCTGAGTCCTGGCCACCACACAGACTGTTTGGCTCTTTCTCTGCATTTGGTTATGCCCATTTGACCTTTCATGCAGCTTGGTGAGCATGTCAGCTCTGAGCGATGTAGGGATCACTATCCTGCTACCATAAAGTAGGAGACCATTTTGAACTGTGAGCTCACCTGAGAGTGGCAGATAGGGTTGAAACACTATCTCAATAGAACAACTTTGTCTGGCTATCGTAGTCTACACTAGTACCTGTTTTAACCTGTTGGAGTACTGCGCGTGTTCGTTGTCTTGTGTGTCTTATTTCCCCGAGTGCTTTGAGCCTAGCAGGGAACCAAAGGCTTGTGATCGAGTCTCAATGTGGAAACTTTTCCCGATGAGTGAGCTCTTGCAAACCTCTCATGACAGCCGCGAGTTGATGTTAGGCCTACTGCGATCTGGGATACGTATCTCTGTCAGTTGTGATGTCTTTGGCCTGCGCACATGTGATATGGTATAGGAGAATCGCTCAAGTCAGGGCATTGGCGAAAACGCCTGTGTGCAGTGGTGGGAGTTCATCCAAACGGACGCTTTGAGCCTATGCACGGAACTAAAGCTTGTGATCGCAGTCTCATGTGGAAACATTTTCGCCCATCTGAGGAACTCTGGCAAACTCTGTGCAAGGGGCCAAGTTGATGCCCAGAGCCTCCCTTTTGCAATCTGGGGGCGTAAGAAACAAAAAAATCTTTGTTCAGTGCTGATGAGAAGCACCCGGGCACGCCATGCCCGGTGATGAAGATGAATCCCGCCAGAAACAAGAAGTTTTGCAGCATTTTCGGGTCATAGACAGCTGGGCTAGTCAAGCCGGGGGGTGTCGTCAAAAGAGATGCAATTTTTGTATGCTGTCAAAGCCGCCTGCTTGCTGTTGTGGGCCCCGCAGGCCCACAATGTTTGTTTTCCTTTAACCCAAGTCTCTGAGAGGAATGAGCTTTTTGCACAGCCAGGTGGGGTAGGAATTTCCCAAAGGTGATTTGTCACTCCCGCAGAAAGGCCGTCTCACGCTCAAGAACATTACTGGGTCTGTCATGGCGTTCAGCAGTGTTTAATCTTGTGCCCTGGGTCTGCTGAGCTGACCTCCAGAATGCGCCTGCTATACTTGGCCGACCGCAAAAACCTTTATTCTGCCTTTTTGAAGAACTCACACTGTTGTGTGGCTCACAGATGAGCACCGTCATCGCATCCTGAGCGGCCAGGCACCCCTTCAGGGGCGTCGAGGAATACGTAACAATATCGTTTTTGAATTGTTCTGGTGGCTGATGATATTCTGAAACCCAAGTTGTAGCAGTATGCCGCCAAATGTGTTATGAAAGTTGTTAGCAGAGATGAT